AACTCTCAGATAGCTACCAATGCGGTGACAACTTGAGAGCCAAGATGATGATGAGAAACAAAAAGACCAAACCAAAAGCCAGTGCTGCTTTTCCCCCTCAAAGCATTTACTGAGTTTAAAGCAGCAGCCAGAACAGCTGAGCAGCTTTGTAGAAAACTCTGACTTCATAGAGCGGAGCTGTGCGATGCTTCCAATACTCTCAAAGGGACAGGGAGGTGCCACGGTTTGAATGACTCCTCCAAACCTCAGGTTGAATTTCATCACTAAGAGTATTAAGATGTGCTACCCCTTAAGAGCTAAGGCTCACAAGGGCTCTTTGTAACATCATTTCACAGTACTGAGTAATTTGGGCCCTCATCCTCTCCTCCCCTCCCCTCCTCCCCTCTCCCTTCTCCTCTCCTCTCCTTCCCCTTCCTCTCCTCTCTGCCCCTCCTCTCCTTTCCCTCTCTCTTCCCTTCTCCTCTCCTCTTCTTTTCTCTTCTCTCCACCCCTGCCCTCCTCCTCTTTCCTCATCTCCCCTCCCCTACCTTCCTCCTCCTCTCCTCTCCTCTTTTCGGTCACTCTTCCTCCCTCCCCATCCCCCCACATTACCACATTGTGACAGTAAGAAGGCTAAGATTACAACCATAAGCCACCGACACCCAGCATAACAAGTATTTTGCAATTTTTTTTAAAGTGGATAAAATTTAGACTCCATAAAGGCGATCTTAAAAAGTGTAATATTGGGCTGGGAAGGTGGCTTAGTGGTAGAGTGCTTGCCTAGCATGCATGAAGCCCTGGGTTCAATTCCTCAGCACCACATACACAGAAAAAACTGGAAGTGGTGTTGTGTCTCAAGTGGTAGAGTGCTAGCCTTGAGCACAAAAAGCTCAGGACAGTGCCCAGGCCCTGAGTTCAAGCACCAAGACTGGCAAAAAAAAAAAAAGTGTAATCACGTTCCAGATTTATGTGCATGGTTTTATAACCAGTTGAGTCATTCCACCAACCTGAAAAACTAATAAAGGGGGAAGTGGGAATAATCTTTTTTTTTTCCAATTTTGACTACAAGAGCAATAAAAATAATTGGCAGTAAAAGGCAGTAGTCAGACACCAGTGGCTCACGCCTGTAATCCTAACTATTCAGGAGGCTGAGATGTGAGGATCAGAAAGAAGCAAGAAAACCAGTGAAATTCCAATCTCCAACTAATGACCAAAAAGCTTAAATGGTGCTGTGATTCAAAGTGGTAGAGCATCAGCTTTAAGCACAAAAGCTCAGGGACAGTGCTTAGTCCCCAAGTCCAAAGCCCAGGACTGGGACCAAAAACAAAAATTGGCAAGATCTCCATCTTTCAATAGTTTTAAATTTGCCCTTTCACAGTGCTTAAGATCCAACTCAAGGCCTTAACTCCAGCAGCATGCTAGCTATCCCACCCCACCTATATTTGCTCTTTAAAATTGCTTTTCTAAAGCAAAGGGAGAGATGACATTGGCCACAAAGAATTATACTCATTACCTGACTTATGACAAGGTAACCCTTCTGTACAACACCTTAATAATAACAAAATTAGGAAATGAACCCCAAGATAGGGACACAACTTTCTTGCTTTTTCTTTCTTGTTATTGTGTCTAAGGCATTTAAATTGTACTGTGTGGGCTGGGAAGGTGGCTCAGGGGTAGAGCGCTTGCCTTGCATGCTTGAGGCCCTGGGTTCGATTCCTGAGCACCACATAAGCAAAAAAGAAAAAAGCCAGAAGTGGTGCTGTGACTCAAGTGGTAGAGCGCTAGCCTTGAGCTGAAGAGCTGAGGGACAGCGCCCAGGCCCAGAGTTCAGGCCCCACGACCAGAGCCCCCCAAAAATTAAAAAAAAATAAAATGTACTATGTGATATTGCTTTCTTTTGTATGTTCTTCCCCCAAAGTATAACCCGTTTTCACTGTATTTGATGTCGGTGCCCTTCATCTTTGTATATACATTTTTCTAATTTGGGGAGGGGAAGGGAAATAACACAATATTGAAATAAGGATACAGGCTAACCCATTGTAACAATGAGAAGTACAAGACACTATGTTGAAAACGAACTTTCAACTTGGAGGGGGGGGAGGGAGGAGGTGGAGGTGGGGGAGGGAAGGGATGGTGGGGGAAAAACAAAGGAGGGGGTAACAATGCTTGATAGGAAATGTTCTCATTACCTTACTCATGTAACTGTAACCCCTCTGCACAGTATTTCTACAAAAAAAAAAAAACAAATAAAAATTAGCTGGGTACTGGTGGCTCACACTTGTAATCCTAGCTACTAAGGAGGCTGAGATCTGAAGATCACAGTTCAAAGCTGGCCAGGGTAGGAAAGTCCGCGAGACTCTTATCTCCGATTAACCATTAGAAAACCAGAAGTGTGGAGCTGTGGCTCAACATGGTAGAGCACTGCTTTAAGCAAGAGTGCAGGGGCAGTGCCCAGGCCTCCAGTTCAAGCTCTATGACTGACAAAAAATAATACAGAAAACTATTATTTAAAAGTAAATACAATAGCCGGGAGCCGGTGGCTAACGCCTGTAAACCTAGCTACTCAGGAGGCTGAGATCTGTGGATCATGGTTCAAAGCCAGCCCAGGCAGGAAAGTCCGTAAGAATTATCTCCAAGAAACCACTCAGAAAACTGAAAGTAGTGCTGTGGCTTAAGTGGTAGATCACTCGCCTTGGGCTGAAGAGCTCAGGGACAGAGCCCAGGCCCAGAGTTCAAGCCCCACCACTGACAAAAATAAATAAGTACAATAAAGCTGGGTGCCAGTGGCTCACACCTGTAAGCTACTCAGGAGCCTGAGATCAAGAATCACAGTTCAAAGCCAGCCTGGGCAGGAAAGTCCCTGTGAGACTCTTATCTCCAACTAACCACTTAAAAAACAAAACAAACCTCAAATAAAAACAAAAACAAAAATGAAGTGGTGCCATGGTTCAAGTGGTAGAATGCTAGCCTGGAGCACAAAGAGGCTCAGGGACAGCACCCAGGCCCTGAGTTCAACCTCTGCGACTGATTTAAAAAAAATACATTAAAAGGAAGCAATAAAAATCCATAGGGGGAAGTGACACTGTTCACAAAGAAATGGTACTTACCACCTGACTTATATGAATGTAACTTCTCTGTACATCACCTTTGCAATAACAATAAAAAACAAAACCAAAAAAAAAACCTAAGGGGAAATGGACACACAGATGCAAGGCTAAAGAAGACCTGGCCTTTCCTTAGTGTGCTAATAGCAGAGGACAACCCTGATCAGACTATGAGATGGCGTAGGGGAGCTCTTGCTAGCTTTCTGTGTCCCAACCTGAGAGGGCTACAGAGGATACTCCATTTATCTGAGAGAAAACTCTCAAGAGCAGTGGAAGGTAGGCCCCATGCCTTAAAGTGAGTTGGCTGCATTAGTCAAGACCTACAGTAGAGGAAAGGAAATTGCAGGTGAAGTCATGTCAGCCTCAATTCTCTAATTCAGCACCACTAGAACGGTCACATCCTTAAGTGGTTGTTTGTTGTGTCTATTTCCAGCATGGTTAGAGTGCAGAGAGGACAGAGGCAAGAAAAGCTGTTCTGCAAGAATCTTTGAGAAAGCAAAACAAGTAAATAAAAATAATAAAGAGGTGTCTAGTTCACTGCTTTGTAATTTCAGCCAATGTGTTCAGGTGTTTGTGTAGTTATTCACAGAGCTAAATGACACCTAGAATTCTGAAGCAGGGTTTTGGTAGAAGGTATGCCAGTTGCTTTACAACATCAGCATGTCCCAATAGTGGGAAAGCCTTATGTTCACTAATACTGATAAGATAAATAACATGGGGGTAATAGGAAAAAAAACATGTAAAGGAAAAGAATTCTAGGTTTTGACCTCAAACTTGATAGACTAAGTATTTATTTCTATTACAGAGGTTTGATTTTAAACCCCAAATTGGTACAGACACCATACCCACAGGCGACAGTGGTCTCTTTGGTATGAGAAGTGTTGAATGTTTCTTAGTGACAAGGGAAATAAAACTTTTGGCTTGTATTAACTATGTGACTCAAGTCTCCTTGTTTGTGTGTGTTTGTGTGTGCCATTCTGTGTGTGTGTGTGTGTGTGTGTGAGAGAGAGAGAGAGCGAGCCATTCTGTGTGTATATGCTTTGTCTTTAGCCAACACTCCACTAGGGTAACGTAAAACAAAATAGGATTTATTTACAATAGCAAAGATGTCAAAAATAACAAGAACAATATATAACAAAGCCAGGATTTCATGAAAAAGGCAAACAATATATACAAGAAACAAAAGATAAAACAAAATCCATAGAGCAAATTTAATCTTGACCTTATCTAAAATGCAGCAGAATGTGGCAAAATGGTTATGAATTACTTATGTAAAACTGGGCCAACACACACACACACACACACACACACTCTCACATTCTCTCACACATACACACACACACACACACACACACACACACACCCATACACTTTCAGCCCTTCTTTTTTACTTTTGCCAAATCTCTGACTTCATTTACTTTTGAAGAATACAACTTTGAGAGGCCATATAAGATGCAGGAAGTATAGACTATTTACACATGCTCGAAAGGATATACTTATTGCCTGGTAGGCTCACACTTAACAAGCGTAAACCAAAGGTAGAAACTTTCTGGGTCCTACAACACCCTCACTTGTCCATTTCTAGTGGCTCTGTGGTTATGCTACCACACATTTTGTTACACCAGTAATATTTCAACGTCTTCAAGTGCTCTAAAACATCATTTTCCGAACTTGAGGCATGTTAGAGAATCATTTGGGGAGCATGTTAAAACCGATCACGGGGCCCTATGCCTAGTTTCCCAATCCAGTAGGGACTGGGGGGGGGGGGAAGGGGCTGAGAATTTACAACTCTAACAAGGGCTCTCTCCACATGCTGTCAGTCAGTGCTGCCAGGTGCATGCTTAGAAAACCACTGCTCTGAAATATTGTCCCTTTCAGGATTGTGATTGTTCGTGCTTTTCTTTTGATGAACCCTAGAATTTGCTGGGAATCAAGGCAATTGTTAACACTGACATTCCCAGACAAGAGGGCAGCCTGCTACCTGACTGGTGAGATCACGTACAGGTTAGCTGCCTTTTGCCAGGTGTCAGTGTTTTTCCGCATGCTACAGTTTTGTGCGATTTACAGCTCTCGACAGAGACGTTCACCACATTCTCTTGATCATCTAGCTCAAGTTTTGCTTATTTACTAGTTTCAAAATGACTATCTGGCCAGGATGGGAAGGGTAAACAAAGGAGGAGGCTGCAATGCTTGGTAAGAAATGTACGCATTATCCTGCCCATGTAATTGTAACCCCTCTGTACAGTATGTTCACAAATAAAATAAAATTAAATTAAAAAAAAGACTATCTGGCCAAAACTTGTTCTTTCAGGTGGAGAACTACAGAATCTCATTTTTAAAGTCAAAGGTGGAACAAATTTAACTCCTGAGAACTTTTACCGAACTTCCAATTTTGACTATGACGACGACCAACCTCTAGTATATTAGTGTCTACTGAGCACTCAAAAACAGGGCACAAAGGGGTAAGTAAAGGCGGGGATTCTGCAGCAGAAGTGGTGACAGCTTCCATTGAATGTGCTGTAGATTCATACTCGAAATAAACTTAAGTGCTCTCAAAATCCACTTTGCACATGGGTAATTTGTCTCAGGGGAACTAGCAATGCTAACAAAACAAATATTTTATGAAGATAAAAGAAAAAAATTAATTTCAATGACATGCTCATCAAAGGACTCACCAATCACCTCCTATCTTCTCTGAAATATTACTTGCAAATTCATAGGACTGAAATATTATCAGTATCTGCATCCGAGTCGCAAAATTCAAAGTAATCAGTTTGTATTCCACTGCTACATAAAAGGAAATAAGAAATGGGGAGGGGTGAAAATAACCCATCGCTTTTGATGTAATTTATTAGATTTACAAAAACTGTACATTTTTTTTTCTTAAGAAAAAAGCATTAACTTAGTACTGGTATCAAATAGACTAAACATTCGTTAACAGGAAAATATTCTGATTTTTATTTTTGCACGTTATTCTCAAGTACACAATTACAATAATGTCACACATCCCTATATGATTTTCTTTTTATGTACTTTACTTTTTTTTACAAAGTGTACAGAGGGAGGGACGTACAATATTTAATAAGATATTTCTACAGAACAATAACTTATATTATGTCCTTGTAAAAATCTGTACCTCTTTAAAACATTTAACTGAAACATTTTTAGCTTTGCTAATCAAAATTGTTTTAGCAATTAAAACTAATTGTAACTAATGTCAGTACATAACAGTGACAACAATTCCATTTTCTCTTTATACAGACACACACATTTTATATTCACTTGACCAAACCCTTAAATACCTTTTAAAGGCTTTGATATTGTGCTTTAAAAAGAAAAAAAAAACTGTATATAATTCCAGATTATGTAAAGAGAAATATAAAGTATGTAAAGTATTGTGTTCTTTATCTTTCAGTTTATTTAAAAAAATATAGTTAAATGGCCTAATTGCTGAATATTTTCCTTATTAAATTGATAGAATGTTTTAAAATTAATAAAATTTCCACTTCCATTTAACTGTTTTACCATATTTCTGGGGCAGATTTTAAAGGTTCTCACAAAAAAACAGACAGAGCTTTCAAGAATAGCAGGGCAATAAATCATACAATTGTTAAATTACTTTTCCAGAAAGTACACTGGGGGCAGCTACAAGGGCACAGGAATTCCCTATGGGATCAGGGAGCCCATGCGTGCCTTGGCTCTGACTGGCATTTCTATTAGGATTTATACCAGCCTAAAGCACTTGACTTAGAACTAAACTAGATCAATCTAGTACTTCAGAGGCTTGCCAGATACCAAATGTTTTAGTTATCTATCTCTAAAAATAGAACTCTTGATACAAATAGTGATGGCAAAGATGAAGATGAAAAGTTTAAAAAAAAAGGAAAGAAAAAATCCCTAAAGGCATGAAGAGGGTGAAGCACCATTAACAAGGTGGACAAGGCAGTTATCAATTGGGAGAAAAGGAAACATCTAAATTTCCCATGATGTGCCAGATTATGTGTGCCAAAAGCCAATTCCAGGGACTCTTAAAAACGGTTTTTGTTCCCCAAGAGTCATCTTAACATAACTAAATTCTAATTAACCAAGTTCATTTTATAAATGCATAAGACCTATATAGTAAAAATTGCCCCAACTGTCAAAGAAAAACAGAACTATGAAAGACAGAGGCCTCAGACTTGACTTATGCACTTTATCTTTCTAATCCAAGCCAACTTGAGTGTTAAGTTTTTAATGTTTGCTAATTGTAACTGTTTGAAGAAATGACAGAGAGCAGGTTGAACTTACAAAGTGTAAGTCCTAATTAGTACCCCTTGCTCTGGTCCACGGAGCCATCACTTCCTTCCCCCCCACCTCATTTAGTAAGATGGTGTTCTCTCTCAGGCTTCTCAGAGAGAACTGAAGGGCTCCTATTTAATATTCATTAGCTTTTCAGAAAAATATAAAGGCATGGAGCTGAAACGGTATGAAAACATTCTATCTATAAACATCTTACCTCTATTTTTCGATTATTTCTTAATTACCAAAGATATTTAAAAGAAAATATCTTACTCTTTAAAAATAACTAGTGTCCTTATTTTCCTTCTAATTCTTCACCTGAGTAATCTCTCTGAAGAGCAAGACTTACAAAATGCTCTCTCATGCATCCCTGCATCTTTCATGTTACTGTAAATTTAATACTTTTCATTATAGACTTTAAACAACTACTACTGGGGGTTGTGTGTATAAACATGTAAAATAATCAATACACACAGATACATGTTTTATATATATATATATATATGTGTATATATATAATTCAGGGTACATTTACATATAGAAAGTTGCAAAAAAAAATCCTATCAGCCACAAGTTGCCTCTAGGAGATTCCAAAATGGAGTCCTCTGTAAGTTTCATTTATAGCACACAACCATTCCAAGAAAAAGCAGCACAGATAGAATAATTGAAACAGGACTGAGTAAAACATTCCAATAAGGTTTTCTAAGAACTTTGCTGTAAATAGCCCAAAGAAAACTATAAGAAGTATATTTTGTCTGCTAAACAAAATGAAAAAAAAAACACAAATACACAAATAAACACAAACCCAGCCATTGTTCTTAGCCAGGGACACAAAAGCTCAAATGGAAACTTCCATGGCCATATGGTCTGAAAATATTAAGCAAGATAAGCAAATGACCTCCACATTGTGATCATCAGACCTGACCAGAAAATCACCCGTTCCCATTAGATGTCTCTGAAAATTTTATTGTGAGAAATTTATGGGAAAAAAAAGTCAACATGAGTACTTTCAGAGTTATCAATCTGAAGTTACCTGAAAGGTCTCAGAAGAATACCATCAAGGTAAGCCAGGTTAAGTACTTAAATAAATACAAAACTTCTAAGATAGAAAAATTCAATGCAGAATCAGGCATTGCTTTATTAAAAGCAACTAGAGCTGGTTGCTGCTTTTCCCCATTTATTAAACAAACTGAATAGAACTCAGAACACACTACTGAACAAAATGTAAAAAAAAAAAAAAAAGAATTCAACTAAGCATAATTCTATTTGTACACAGCATAAATCAATATACAGTATTGTATGTGAACAAGACTGGTTGGCTTTCAAATGAACTTTCTGCTTCAAGGCCAGTTTCTCTGTAAACGACGGTGGAAGTATTGTTAGGGCAGGCCAACTTCTTTATGATGTCGCATTATGTGCTGGTTCTTTTCGGAGGGTCTTCGGAACCCTTTCTTGCAGTACTCACAGCGGTGAGGGTAGTCTTTTGTATGAATGGAGATAACGTGCCGTTTAAAGCCTGAGGCATCTGTAGTGCTATACTCACAGTATTCACACTGATACACTTTCCGACCGCTGTGGGTCTTCATGTGCTTTTTAAGCTCATTCTGTTGCCGAAATCCCTTTCTGCATCTCTTACACCTGAATGGAAGGTCCTTGGTGTGAACCGAAAGAATATGGCGACTTAGCACAAATGGATCTGCAATCTTAAAGTCACAATGTCTACACTGGTGCATTTTTTTACCCTTGTGGGCAGCCACATGCTTCTTGAGTTCTGAAGGCCTGTGAAAGCCTTTATCACACATGTCACACTTATGGGGATAGTCCTTGGTGTGAACTGAAATTATGTGTCGCTTCAAATCGCTTGAGTTTGAGCTTTTGTGGTCGCAATGCAAACACTGGTGTGTTTTGCTTTCTTGGTGGATAAGAGCGTGTTGCTGCACATCTTTGGTATCTGAGAAAGTCAGAAGACAAACGTCACACTTGAATGGCATCTCCTTGCTATGCTTAGTCTTTACATGAGTTTTCAGGTTTGAAGAGTCTGCAGACCTATATTCGCAGTACTGGCATTGGTACGGCTTCTCCCCGGTATGGATTCTCATGTGCTTTTTAAGCTCTGATGGGTGGCGAAAACCTTTGCCACACTCTACACAAATATGAGGAAAGTTCTTGCTGTGGACCGCCAAAAGGTGGCGATTCAGCAACCCTTGTTCAGCTGTTTCATATTCACAGAATTTACACTTGTACATTTTGTTGGCTCCTTTTTCCTTATGCACCATTTTGTGAGTAAACAAAGCCCCAGCGTGAGAGAAATGCTTCCCACAGTCATCGCATTCAGTGGTCTTCTCAGACTTGCTAGTGAGCTTGTGGCTCTCCAGGTGATTGTGCAAACTTATCTTCTTATTGGTAGTGTAATCACAGTCAGTACAGCGGTACTTCTTCTTGGCAAGGTGTTCAGGATGGTTTTTCATGTGCCTTTTCAAGAAACCTCTCGACTTAAACTTCTTCCCACAAATCATGCAAGGGTAGACAGTCAAGGGATGACCATCGGGGCCAATAATTATTGCTAAGAAAGGAAAAGACAAGAGCATGAATGAGCAAGCCAAATTCTGGAATCATTTCTTACAATTTTAGTGTGTTCTGGAAACTACTGGTATGTAGTCCCAAGGACTCCAAACTTAGAAAGGTAACATTATTTTCCTACGTAAGGGACAAAATAATCTGGTAATAACGAGAACCTGGTTTGGAAAATTCCTTCAGTAGTACTGCACCAATTGCACCTCTCCAGTTTATCAAAGTTAATGAGTAATTATGGATTGTCTATCAACTCAGATTTTAGAAATCTGTAGGAAATTCCTTTGTAACAATAAGAGCATTGTAATTAAAATTCTTGCTTTGGTTACTCAGAAAAATCCATTATGTTAATTTATAGTAAAGCTTCAATATACTCAAATTTCAATATGCAAATCAGTATAAAAATAGGCAGAATAAGTCATAAGAACTAAAGCACTTATCCTGTTGCTCTGTTAATTATGCCTGTTTTAGGCTGACATAATTGGATTTTTTAAATATACTAATTTTTTAAAGTTAGTGCTTAGATGAAGGATTCTTTTTCATTTTCACATTTTAAAAAAATCCCCCTATTTTGAATT